GAGGCTGCTTTTATCCTTCATCGCCTGGTTCTTCTCACCTTCCTTTTTCTCCCGGAGCTGCCCACTTCTGGAGCTCATGACTCGGCTCTTTTCCTCTCCGTGTATCATTGCTTGATCCCTGATGGTGGAGGGATCAGGGGGGCTTGAAAGTAGGTCACTGGAGAGAGAGTTCCTACGCAGAAGACTTTGCATTTGCAGGATGAGTTTGGTCTGGTTCTCCAGCTGGACCTTGAGCTCTCTGACTTGTGCCTGGAGCTGCAGAGGGTCCTTAGAAACACCGTAGTCATCATAGACCTGCAGGCTCTTTAGACTGAACTGAAAACAGACGGAAGGGGTTCAAAATGTATTCCAAGTCAATTGTGATCACATTTCTGGGAAACTAAAGAATGAGTGTTGCCTTCTTTTGTGAGAAACGCAGATTTACAGATTTCTCCATTGAATCAACTCGTCTATTTGTAGACCAAGTAGTTTTAGTGTTAGTCGACTAAGTTGAAGTTATTTAGACTAAAGAGAGTCCTAATGAAGGCATGAGGCTACAGCTGGTCATGGTGTGGAAGTGGACAACATTACTGTTAAATACATATCCTATATTTAGGTGCGTTTTTGGTTTTGGAAAGGCTAAAAGAGAGACTGTTTAAGCATTTCAACTATTGAAATAATGAGTACCTTTGCAAACACAGGGACAATTCAAAAGCTTGACCAACTTGCTGTGCATTGTTAGTTATAATTATTTAGGGGAGGGGTTCAAAGCAATAAGTTAGATGAGTACCTTGGCAGAGCTGAGAGCGGGGGAGCTGGGGTATGGGGTGCTGGAGGTGGAGTCCAGGTTCTCAGTGGAGGAAAACGTGGCCTGATCGTGTGGGGAGGGCAGGTTGGAGGCGCTGCGGCTGGGGTGTACACCAACCTCTAGATCTGGCAACACAGGGGACACAAAACAATCAACCAGGGAACAAGAAAACATTACAAAGTTGAGAGAAATAAATGGTGACTGTGACGTAAAAGGATTTGAGATACAGTTGGACTGTGAAACAATAAGACAAGAAATAAAAGTGTAAAGGTTAATGAGTGCTCGAAAAGACAATCCCAAACTCCAGAATAAAAACATGCAAGAATTTGTCATGGCAAACATGTTGACAGTTCATTCAAGTGGGGGAAAAGTGCAGAGAAATAGCGGGTTAACGCCAGTAGAGAGTGTGGTCATGAGACCCAAACAGAAAACATTTCTCCAGGTGAGAGACAGTGTGTTACAGTGGCCTTATCTCAGTCCTCATGCAGACACATAGAGAGAATCTACAGTGAAGATTAGTGTCCACTCAGCAGGCCGTCTACCTGTGCTACTGCTCTCTTCCCTATCGTTCTCACTCTTGCCACTGGTTTCGTAACCCAGGTCCTGCAAATCCACCTGCACGCCTTTGTCATCCTGCTCCAGAGCTGGCAGTGGAGGCAATATATGTGGGGTTAGGATGAGATTCACATGTACAGATCATTTTCTCTCCTTTATGGTGTTCATGATCCATTTGGATAAACAAAAGGTTTGAACACATCTTGTAAGGCTGTACCGAATGAATATATCAAAAAGTAAGAAAGCATCTAATCTGCATTGTCACAAAAAGCTTGCATTCTGCACACAAAAAGTTGAATGCTAAGATAATGAATTGTGGTTCAGAATGAGGATTCTGTTTGTGAAAGACTTTGACATGTTTTTAGTTTCCAACGTTTCCTTTAAAAACCTCAATAGAAGCGTTCAGTACAGCCTTACTTTGAAGAATCTTAAAAACATTACACATTTGAAATTGCTCATGCACTTTCAACTACTTTAAAGCAACAAGAAATAAAATAAACTCAGCATGCTAACCTCTCCTTGCTGTTTCCGGGGAGGTAAGAGCAGTAGCCAGTTTCTCCGCCAGGCTTTTACACGCCTTCTTCTTCTCCCTCAGCGCCTTATGCAGAGTCTCCAGCTGCACTTGAACACTGGGTGGTAAACTGTTGGCGTCCGGCAGCGTCCTGTGGACGTCGCCGTCCTCTTTACGGCTTCTCTCTGATTTTAGGGAGGCCTGGAGTTCAGAGATTCTCTGACAGAGATCACTGAACACCTCATAGAGGCGGCAGATGTTGTTATGCAGCTCTGGGTGGAGCTGTCCCTTTTTTCGAGGTGACTGATTGACACTGAGCTGATCCAGTTCCCCCAGTTCCTTCCTCTCTCGCAGGGCTCTCTGAAGTTTGTCTAAATGAATCTGCAGTTCAGGGCTGGTCTGTGATGATCGACCAGAGGCCAAGAAGCTGCTGTTTGTACAGTGTGCTGCCAGAGAGGCAACAGCAGACTCTGCTGCACTCAGGCAGTTCATCAGGACTTTGCTCATATCCTGATTCAAACTAACATCTGAACTACCCATTTCAAATGGATGACCCCTTGTCTGCTTTTCTGCTGCTGTCTGCCTTGAACATTTAGCATCCTGCTCGTTGTTGTATCTATGTTGAGCAGCAGCCTCTGCAGCTCTCAGTTGTTCCTGCAGCTCTGCATTAAGCCTATGCTGCTGCCACAGGGCCTCCTGCAAAGAGTCTGTGTGTTGTTGCAACGCCTGCATAGATTCCTCTGTGACTCCAGTGACACCTCTTAGGCTCGGTCTATTTGAAGATGTGTTCCCCTGCTGCAAGGCCGTCTCTATCTTCAAACATAAATCGCTGATTTCTGGAATCTTTTCTTGTCCATCAGTTGAGCTGATGGCTTTCTCCGCCACGTTCAGAAGCTCTATGAGCTGCTTGTTGAGCTCCTCCTTCTCCTGTAGGGCTTGTTGCAGCTCCATGCACCTGCCGTAAAGGGCAGAATCTGAACTTGCAGGACCGGTGAGCGACCCAAATCCTCCCTGGCTGTCCAGACTGCAGGCGGTCAGGTAGGAGATGGTGGATTCTGCAGCCTGTAAGGCCTCCACGTACTGGCCATTAAGTCTGTCCTTTTCCTGGATCTGAGCGTGGAGCCCCTCCCAATCCACTAGCTGCTCACTTAGCTTGTTGATCAGCATCTCTTTCTCTTGACACTCCTGGTTTAGAAGCTCCAGCTGAGAGAAAAGAGCAGAGTCAGCCTGGGAATGATCCGGTGTCGCTCCTGTTTCAGAGCCTTTGTCTGATCCCACTGGACTGCCGGTATGATGTTTGCATCTGAGCGTGGAAGAAGGGGAAGTGCTGTGCTGGGGTGACAGGGGGGCGTCAGATTCTGCATGCAGTTGCTGATCAAACGCATATACACCATCCAACTGAAGGTGCTCAAATGAATCAGTTTTAGGCTGGTCAGAGCTCACAGACTGCATGCTGCTAGCCTCCACCCTCAGCCTCACAGGGACCGGGAGGCGAGACTTGACACCTTCCTGCGATTGAAACAAATGGAACAGATATTAAAAGGGACAGTTTCAATTGTTTCAAAAGGGATTGTAGGTACTTATCCATAATCTGTGCACTTAAACAGCATGCCCCCCACTTTGGAGGATGCTATCTATGCTCTCTTCAAAGCCACTTCACTTCATTGACAAACAATAAAATACCTTGCCGAAAAAGGGAGTTGCTGCTCTACCGCTGCATGGATTGGTTAGCTATTTTCAGGGTATATGCAGGAATCCTGAAGTCAAATTTAATACCTTTTAAGACCTTTTTTAAGACCCTTTCCATACATTTTAAGACCTCATCGCAACTTTGAGTTCTAACCGGTTACATTGGCAACACACTTTACCTCACATTTACTATATTGATTGTAAGATAGCAAAACTAAACAGAGTGCAGACAGACTACTGAAGCCTCCTTTCCACATGAACTTCAACCTCTCTGTGAAGGTCAGGTTTAATGCAGTATGCTGCTTCTTTGCTTCTGTAGACTCTGTGCTCTTTCATTCCAGTAAAACTCCTCAGAAACCATTAGAAACCAGTATTTGACCAATAAACAAAACAATTGACAAAACTTTGAACTATGAAATATATTAAACTTTGGTGAGCTTCAGCGGGGTAATGCCATATAGGAGCTCCATCTCAAATACCCAGGTGTTAAATTGGGCTGGGGCTGTCCGGGGCTAAGCCCTGGCACATAGGACGATGCTCTGACGTCATCACCCTCACACATTTGTCATATGTTTACAAAAAAGGATATATATGTTAAGACTTTTCTCGTTCTTAATATAGACTATATTTAGGGTCTATATGTGTTGACTTTACTTTAAAATAGCAGATCTCTGTGACCGGATATAGTTTGGCTTAGACCCCGGCCCCACGAGGACGCATACGGTAAAACGCATACGCAAGCGCAAAAAAGGCTTCCGTTCACACGCATTCGATTCATTAACGTGTCCGTTCACACTAGACCGCTGGAAATGCTGGAAACGAGGCCTGTAAGTGGCGCTGCTGCCGCCCGAAATACACCAAAAGCAGTGAAGAAGACCCCGGAGCATGGTTGCCATGGTTGCCCTTCTGTTTATTCTCCGCGGTGGACGGCGTGTTCTCCTGNTGTGGTTAAACTTTACCCGTCTCGATGTGGACAATGCTCGTTACCAAAAGTGCAATAACAGTTTATCATGTAAGGGCCGTAACACGAGCAGTTTGTCTAAACATTTAGCAAAAGTGCACCACATTCAGACGGAGGAATGCACCGCGTTCGACTGTCTTTCTAGTAGCTCTGTAGCCCCGTCCACGAGTAACGTTTCCTCATCAGGTGTTATGTATGCTAGCAGCAACACACGGAGTTAACTACATTATACAAACATGGCTTAATGATTAGAGGTAACTGAGTTATTTATTTTGTTAAAGTTTCAGCTATTCTGTTTTAGACAAACTGCTCGTGTTACGGCCCTTACATGATAAACTGTTATTGCACTTTTGGTAACGAGCATTGTCCACATCGAGACGGGTAAAGTTTAACCACACCTCGGAGTGCGTTCTCTCCGCCATCTCCTCTCTCTCTCTGTGTGTGTGTGTGTGTGTGTGTGTGTGTGTGTGTGTGTGTGTGTGTGTGTGTGTGTGTGTGTGTGTGTGTGTGTGTGTGTGTGTGTATTAGAACGGGAGTTGGCGACAGTAAAACTGTAATATAATGTTTGTGTAGCAATAACACACATGACATATATTTGTTACATTTCTCCAGTACCGATAAAAAGACCGATAACGTCGGAGCTTAACGGTACCACGGTCTTTAATCATTCAGCCCCGGCGGGCCCCTTTAATACCGGGGCTCTGTACCCATCCCTACTCCTGACTGTAAGGGAGCCAGGAGGGACCATTAAGTGAGATTCAACCTTTCGTGGTGCCAATGAGTGACTTTTTTTAACCACGCCTTTCTCTCATATTGTAGTTTTATGTGAGTGCATTAATATTTCATCTCTTTGAATCAAGCTGTGTGCATGTGTGTGTCAGACCTGCTGGCAGAGCATCTTCAGGAGATCCGTGCACTGCGGCAGCGTCTGGAGGAGAGCATCCGCACCAACGACCGCCTCAGGGAGCAGCTGGAGAAGAGGCTGGCAGAGGTGGAGAGAGACCCAGGTGACCACACCTCAAATCACCTGGATGTGTTTCATTCTCTGTGTCTGTCATAAGGGTTTGTCTCCAATCATATGTCCTTGAACAAAAGTACTTCTTTGTTGACTGACGTGTGTGTGCCCGTGTTCAGCAGCCACCAACATCTTCATCCACGGCAACGAGGAGCAGGGTCAGCTGGCCAATGAGGTGCGCTTCCTCTGGGGACAAAACCAAACCCTGAAAGAGCAGCTCAGCCTGGGCTCACGAGGTAAAACACACCTTGTCATATAAGCTCACTTTAACCTATAACACATATTTTCAGTTCATACAACAGTTGACGTAGAGAGATGATTGTTTTCCTGATGTTGTTGTTATTTACACATATATTTAGACATACCTGTATCTCACATTTACACATACAGTATATGTCGCTAATAGGTGCTTCAAACTAACTTCAACTGAATCTTTCACTAATATACAAGTGTTTTGAATTCCTTCAGACAAGCAGAAGGAGAATGAGAAGCTACGGGAGACTCTGGCCAGGCGCACGGCCAAACTGGAGCAGAGCAGGAGGGAGTGTGAGGCTCTGAGGCAGGAGAACAGCCGCCTGCAGGAGAGGCTGGAGCTCAGCAGCCAGGAGAGCTCCCAGCTGCTGGAGACCCTGCACTTCAGCAAGGAGGAGCTGCACAGGTACACTCACACACACTTCTAAGTGTCTCCTAGCAGCATCTATTGTCCCGACTGTCCTTCATGCAACCTGGAACTACACAAAGCTACTAATTAGCATTGGAAAGACTCATTACTATTATAACTTGTGTGTGTGTGTGTGTGTGTGTGTGTGTGTGTGTGTGTGTGTGTGTGTGTGTGTGTGTGTGTGTGTGTGTGTGTGTGTGTGTGTTTCCAGGTTTCAGTGTGAAGCAAAGCTCCAGAGGCAGCAGCTGTCTGACTCTCAGCACCTCCTTCAGTCACTACGAGTAGAGCTGCAAGTTTACGAAAAGATCAAGACTGAAGATCGTAAACACAACGGTAAAGCAATTTCACACATTTTGAAAGAACCTCTTGTCACGGGATGAAGTTTAAACTTGAACACGGTCAGACAAAACAGTGGGATCGAACAAAAACTAGAAATCTTCTACATTTAAAAGATTTGTTTTTAATCTTTCGAGCCCTGATCAAAGTTTGTAACTCAGACTTTAAAGTCTATGAAACGATATCAAAATGTTTATGCAGTTCATGCGTTCTCACATAGAGATGAAACACATGTCTTCTTTGTTTTAGTTTTCTGAAGATAGTCTGGTAATAGGTCAACATTGGAACAAATCTTGAAGAAAACTACATTCTTTTCTTTTTTGAAGAGTCACAGAAAGTGAAGAGAGTGCAGGTGAAACGGTATGAAGTGGATCTCTGGTGTTTAGCTTCCTGTTGGTTTCCTGTAGCACTGGAGCTGATGTTTCCTTCTCCTTCCCTGTTCTCACAGCTGAACGCAGTGAGGGGTCCCAGGAGCCCGCCCCCCTCCCGCCCTCCGGCTCGCTGGACCTGAGCGAGCTGCTGCTGGAGATCAGACACCTGCGTCTGCAGCTGGAGAGGAGCATCCAGACCAACACCGCCCTGAGACAGAGGCTGGAGGAGCAGCTGCTCCGAGGACCCCACCGCTCTGAAACCATCAACATCAACTACCTGCTGACCTCCCCAGGTAAACACAGGGCACACGCCCACATGCTGCTCACGTGTGATAGGGATATGTAGGAGCCATTTATGTTCATTGCTGGCGTTTTTATTTTGCTTGGATGCAATTAAATGCAATATTATTTTTGAACACTTGGTGGTGGGGGTTAGCTGCACAGGGTCATAGGTCACAGGAGAGAGGACAGGACACAGGAAGAGTGAGAGCGTACTATTCTAACAGATGCTAAACGGCTACAACAACTAACTGGCAGATTCAACCTTTGGTATTGAACTGTCTTTCAGAACCAGAAACGTACCTGTTTGTCTGCGTATAGACCCCTCCCACCCCTCACCATGGTGATATAGGACCAGACATGTACCTGTTTGTCTGCGTATAGACCCCTCCCACCCCTCACCATGGTGATATAGGACCAGACATGTACCTGTTTGTCTGCGTATAGACCCCTCCCACCCCTCTCCAGGGTGATATAGGACCAGACATGTACCTGTTTGTCTGCGTATAGACCCCTCCCACCCCTCACCAGGGTGATATCGGACATTGGCCCTCTTAAATAGCCATCACAGTATACAGAGGCATAAAGACACTGCTATTCTTTCCTCTCAGATGAAGGAGGCAGGTCACCCGGTCGTGATGGCTGCGATCCTCCCCGTCACTCATTTCAGAGTCACAACGAACACACCAGTGTCCTCCATGGTGAGAACAACAATGATGTTATCATTATAATAACAGTAAATAAAGCTGGTGTCGCTCTCATGTCGTCACGACTGACCGTGTTTTCAAACATGTTTTCAGAAGAGAAACGTGGCTCTCACTCGGAGGGGGAGGGGGGCTCGTTCAGCAGCAGCTCTGGGGACAGCGCTCCCTCTCGCCTGGTGCCCGGCCACCGCATGTGGGCCAATCGTAGCGGCCGCCATATTCTGGGTCTTATTGAGGACTACAACGCCCTCCGTAAGCAGATCTCAGAGGGACGGAAGCTGTCGCGCAGCATGGACGCACACCTGCAGGAGAGCCTGCACACACTCACACAGCAGGGCTCCGACAACAAGGTACACACCAAGTATCATGTTTGGTATAGTATCATATCAAAAAGTGCAAATAAAACATCTCCAGTGGTATCTGAGCTGGTCCCCGTTCTATAAGTACCCCCTCACTCCTCTGTGATCATTCACCTACATGTTTTCTTGTATTAAACCCTTTGTAATCATATTCAACCCAACTGCTCCTAAAAGAAAATACCTTTAAACTTGACATTTACACTTATTGTCTCACCTTTTATGCTATATTTGAACAATATATTATAGGGCCATATCGTTACAAAACATGTCCCTGAAGTGTTCTGCTCAAAATACCAAACAGATCACCCGTTGTAGCCTGCCTCATACCCCTCTATTTCAGCCCTGTTACTAAAGTTCTGATTCTGGGTCTGGCCCTTTAAATGTAACCGAGCTGCTGCTGGCCACGCCCCTTTGGAGCTGCTGCTGGCCACGCCCCTTTGGAGCGTCATCAAGGACAGTATCTTTTATATCCGTGCATTTTGCATAAAAGGTGACCTTTAAGACCCACGAGGAAATTGGAGGGCTACTTTTTTTATATAATCTTCCTATAAATAAGAACATTATTTGTACTTATTACTGTTTCCAACGGGCGTCACGTTGTTTTGAAAAGTGGTGGGGACATATTGTTCAGTTAGAAATCAAACTGTATTGCGTGCCTCCTTATTTTTGTACACCCTAGTTTCCCTCTGTGTAAGCAACACCTGTAGACACAGACGTACAGCCAGGCTACAGACGCTGTGGCAGGGAGCATTATATGTGGCGGGAGGCGGGGAATTATTGAAGAAGCCAATAAAGATTTTTTGAAATGTTACCATTTAGCATTCTGGTACTCTCCGAGAATAAATAAAGCAAAAAGACACGGAGCAGAAACACTGCTGGGACTGGTTCCAACAGTTGGATAGGAACAGGGAGGAGAAGGTTCCCTGTCCTGACGCTCTGCTGACGCACGGAGACAAATCAGCAGGAACACTTCAGAAACATTTCTCCCAGCAAAGTGATCAGAATTCGTAAATGCACTCTGAATGTTGCATTTCATTTACCGATCCTGAAAACAGTCACTTCACGGAGATCCTGCAGCATGCCCCCCCGCAGCAGCTTCTCTCACCGAGGAGAGGAGACCCCTGATATTTCAAAACAAATATTGTTATTCATATAAGACAAGATTTATTTATTGATTTAGCTATTTTTAGAACGCACCCTGCAGATGACCAGGTGCCCGCGTCATACATTCAAAGAATGAGTAAAGAATAGTCATAGTCAATTACAACTTTGTGTTATCCTTGCAGCTTGCCCAAATGACACATTAAGAGTCACACACCTAAATGCCATGTTGTGTCCTTCTCCACAGGTCGAACAGCAGCATCTGGAGAGCTTCTCGGGCAGCGTGAACACCATGCTGCATGTGATGGAGGAGGCGGGACGGATGCTTAAACTGGTGTGGAGGGTCTCTCTGCCAGCAGGGGGCGGGGGCAACAACCAGCAGGTAGATGTCCACACACACATAAACTGCCTCTAATTAAGTAACTTAGGAATCATCTACGCAACGAAAACCCTCATCTTTTTATCCTTGGTGTCAGGATGAGCTTCTGAAGAATGAGATATCCAGACTGAAGAGCAGGCTGTCCCAGCAGGAGAGGATGCTGAGCGGAGCGGTGAAGCGCCTCCGAACAACCAACCAGCTCAAAGAGGGGATGGAGCGAGTCATCATCGATCAGCGTGAGATTACCTTTAAGATGATCTGGTTTGATTTAGACAGTTCATCTACTGTGTACCAACAGTCACACGATCTGCTACTCTGTTTCTTTGTTTTATATATTTGAATTTGAATCCCTTTGTTCTTTACAATTTCCTCTAACTTTTGCTGACTAAATAACAAATGATCTGAAAAGAATTGATAATGAAGATATAATAATCCGTTGAAACTCTTTCTACGTGTATAAAATAACTAGGCTATGTATTTGTATTTAATCTGAATGATTTCCCCCCTCTAGTGTATCTAACCCACGGAGTGTTGAAGAAAGCCAGAGGAAATTTAGAGGTGAGTTTAGCACCAAAGCCTGCCCCAGTTATTAAATGTCAAACTAATGTGCTGGTCCTCAGTAGTACATTCTGCTTCAGTGAATCCTTCTTCTTTCCCTTCTCTACTTGAAATGATGATAGACAAATTACTGCTCCCTAATTGGGCTGAACGGCCTGTCTGGAGGACCAGACGGAGGTCAGTGTGGTTGAGCTGCAGGCTTTGAGAGTGATGCATGAGACCCTTTTTAGTTGGTATTACCTATTGCATGAGACAAGCACCAAAATATGAATTCACAATAAGCTACTCAGATTTACTCATTTGTGTTGTGTTCTTTTTTTGTGAGACCCTCAATCGTGGGCTGGCTCTCTTATTTAGCAGTCCACGTACTTTGTGAACCTCTAGTAAACTATACGATTAAAATGTCCTTAAAAGTCAGTGTAGCACGACAGAAAAATGTAACAATATAGTATTCCTAATACAAGTCATGTCAGGGTAAAAGAAGTCATTAAAGTACAATTCAACAATTATTTTAAAGGTAGTATGTCTTAAAAAGTTGAAAATCGAAGAAAAAAAGTCATGTCGAAAACACATTTGTACGTCAACAAAAGTAACAGTATGTTGAAAATATACCCCAAAAAAGTCCCAGTATGCATGTGTCTGCAAGCAGTTTTAAAATATGTTTGTTTCGTTGATGTTGCGAGCAACACGTTTTGTTTCTACCTTGCATGTCTGTGGCTAAATATTTCAAACCACTGTTAGTGCCTGCCTGATCTCGCTGATTCAACTCTCCTCCTCTCCGTTTCAGGAGGTCCCAGTGAATGGCCAGTAGGGGGCGCTGCAGGCCCACACTCTGAGTCCTCAGAGGAGCACAGTAGTGACGCCTCTGTACACTGCAGCTACTAAACCTGCTCTTATGACGCAGCTTCCTGCCTTTCTGTCCTGCTGTCAAACTGGCACCTTATCTCCTCTAAGCCTTTTTCTACTTTCACATGATGGACCTAGAGATTTATTTTAGGCACTGAAGTTGTAAAATGTTTTTAAAAGAGAGATCACCTTTGTAAATAGCCATTCCTGCAAGTGAAATATTTTTTTTCTTTTATATGATGAAAGTGTATTTTAATACTGACTTTTTCTTTCTATCGGCCAGTGTGTATAGGATGGTTTGAAACGTGTGTTCAAGGAATTATGTACAAGTAAAGAAAGAAACAGTTGTGGTACAAAAGTCCCTTTATTAGCATGTGTGTTTGTAATTGCTTCAAAATGTGTACATGGATAAACACAGATAGAAAAGTAGAGATTAAGAAACTTGACAGAATAAGCTTCCCTTCTACGTTTGTCGTGAAACACGAGGAGATTATATATGAAAGGTGTAACTTTTGAAGAAGGGTTAGGGAAACATGTGTGGTCATATAGTGACCTATAAAACTAGGCCTTGGTAAGATAATGGCAGTCAGTGACTGATGTTTAGTAGCACCTCGTTATAATACATGTTGGGTTTTTCACAATCAGGCGCTAATTTTGGCAAAACGAAATGTTGAAATTATGGCTCCAATCTTTATTAAATATTACAACGACACACTCACTGCAGGTCACAAAGTTGTGCTAGTTGAACTACGGCAATAACTGTACAGAAAAAAGGTTTTGTAATTCTACTGCTGGGGGGGGGAGTCTATCTCTGCACGAGTCTTACGAAGGCCTGCACCAGCTGGATGAAGGGCTCCTGGCCCTCGTGGCTGGCTTTAGAGCCCGGGGTGGGGGGCTTGTTCTGGGTGGAGGGGAGCATCCCACTGGCTGGAGACGACGGAGAGCCCCTGCGGAAATGGCGGGAAAGACTTGAAAGAAGAGTGCTCTGAAAGTGGAGAAAATAAAGAAGTAGAATATATTAAGGTTAAAGTCTGTTCCATTGGACATACAAAGAGAATCAAAAAGAAAACACATTTTTCTTCATCTAATTTATATTTGATTATTTCAATCAATATTTACACTTTAGAAAACTCAGATCAAAACATACAAAGAGAAACAATATGACTTTTATTCTATGAATGAAATGATTTAGATCGTTGTCAGTGAATGTCTCACCAGTTCCGAGCTGAGCTCCTGTTTGAGCCTCTGTTTGTCCCGGGGGGGGGTGGAGGGGTCTTTGAGGCAGCGCACAGCCTGAGAGATCAGCACGTAGAAACAGTTCTCCATGGTGAACATCAGCAACGACCTGAAGAACAAAAGGTCCAACAGAAAGCAAAAGTTTAATGTTCAGAAAATAGAACTTTAGAAGATTTAGATTTTGGGGAAATAAAGCTTTCTCAAAACTGACTCGAAGCCATTTTTTATTACATAACGGTTTTCCCCTAATATTTCAAGCATACTAAGAAGTTTGTTCTGATATTTTCTACATTCTATGACTTTATGACATATTACACAATGACTTTCTATGGCATATTATACTTAAATTATCTTTTTTTTAAATGTTCATGACCAAAGCTCCAGCTTCCATTTTGAATGCTGAACGTACGTACCTGCTGCTAGCAAAAAGTCTTTTCCAAATAATACTTTCAAGTAGAGGAAGGTTGATTTACTCACTTCAGAGCTTGGATCTCCTCCGATGAGGCCAGGGAGGCGATGCTCTGAGAAACTGGTTCTTTCTTCTTCTCTATCTATAAACAAACCGCAAACGGTCAGATCTGCAGGAGCTTTCAGTGTGGCTGCAGGGGATCATGAATAAAGCAAACATCTACCTCTCCCAACATGCTCAGGCCCACGTTGATGGTGGCCAGCAGGGTCCCAAACGAAGGGGCCACATCGGGGTCGAACGCTGGCGTGGTGAAGCTGAGCACGAACAGGGTCCGATACTCTGCCAGGTCCATGCTCTGACAGAACACAGGAACATTTCATTGGCTTTAACTCAGAAACATACATTTCAAAATGTGGCACAGTTTCTTGCAATGCTGGTGAAAACACAAAGCTAGCTATCAGGACGTAACAATACATCAGAGCTCCTGAGCAGGCTGACCTGGTCCAGCAGTATCTGGCAGCAGTCTGGAGTGAAGTGCTGCAGAGTGGCCAGCGTTTTGCTGAGGATCTTCAGCAGACTGCACTGCACCGCCAGCAGGGCCTTCTGCTCCGCCTCCTCTCTCTCTCCTCCACCGGCCGCCTCTTTAGACGGGGTCTGGGGGGCCCGCTGTGTCCTGGGGAGGGGACCAGGGGGCAACGCTTCGCCATTTTTGGCCTGAAACATACCAAAGCAAACATGAAGCCTTAATATAACAGCAATGTGACTTGATTCTTGGTGGAAGATATAGCAGCTAACAAACGCACAGTGTAAATCATTCTTTATGTCCAAGACAGTGTTATAAGTCACGTGGGTTATCACCCACAATACAAAGGGTAGGATGCGGCAAGGTGTTCTATCACAGCGTTTCTGACCTGGAGGTAGTGGTGGAGCATCTTCTTGCTGTGCAGCAGGTAGGTGCAGGTCTGGCACAGATAGCACAGGTTCACCTGCAGGGGGAGACAGAGAGATGCTGAATACTGAGGCTGAGCTGTATGCTCTGCTGAGGTGGAGCTTCTCTGTGGACTAACCTGAACGTCCCACAGCAGTTTGGGCAGATGGAACTGCCACTCCTTGCAGAAGCTGGAGAGCTGCAGCAGGAAGCCCACCGTGTGATCGGCCTCGTCCAAACAGGCCAGGCTCTGCACGGTGCGCACTGCGTTCAGACACTGGGGGGGGGGGGGGGGGGATGCTGTTATTAACAAGGAACACAACAGCTGCTAGATTTACAGCGTACAACAGAACAGTTCACTTCACCTACAGAAATCCACAGCAGGTGTTTTTTCCTATCTGTCTACAAATGTTTCTTATAGTCTGCTCCCTTGATATAAAGTTTTCATATTGCTTAGAGAAAAATATCATTTGTTGTTTTCATTGTTATGAAGTCAAATTAAAGGATTTTCAAATCAATGACCTTTTAACAAGTTAAATAAATGATCATTCATTTCAGTAACTCTGATTACTCCTTATAGTGGAACATTATCCTTTCAAATTGGAATTATAATTAAACAACTTTTTGGACAATACAAGTGATTTGATTAATTGAACATTTAGATACGGGATTTAGAAATGCCCTTTTCCATTATTCTCTTTATTTGTACATCACATGTCACTTGTTAGACGCTTTTATCCAAAGCGACTTACATACATCTCCACAGGAGCCACTTGGGGTGAAGTGTCTCAGAGACACAACGACATGCTGACTGCAGTGGGACTCGAACTAGCTACCCCCTGATTCGAAGTCCAGCACTCTACCCACTGAGCCACAGCCTCCCTTATTATTGCATAAATCAATGTATGCAATAACCCATCCAGTCCTACCTGTAGAATGCGCTCTTGATGAACTCCTACGAAGTCCAGGGCTTCGTTGATGAAGTTGTAGCGCAGCGTCTTGAGCAGACTCTCCATCAGGGACATGCAGAGGCGGTAGACCCCCGGCCAGCAGGCCGAGTCCTGCGACTTCCTGGAGAAACTCTGCAGAGACATATAGTGTTCTTTTATTAGTTAGTGTTATGTCAGTATTTTAAAGCAATGCTATAATGTCATTTCTATGACCTGTGATGCTCCGTTTGAAGAGCCCTCGTACACGCTGAGGAGGGGGAGGCAGATGGTCTGGATGATCCCTGCTCCAGCCACAGCTGCTGCCCCCTGCAGGAGGAATGGAGCAGCGTTCACATTTGACATCTTTAACAAATATGTTTACAGACTAATAAGTATTGATTTGAAATACTACATCATTACTTTTTGGATTGTTTATATTCACCTCCCAGACAGAATATACACTAAGTGTTAAACACTTTTAATACTACAGTATCCTGCTGTCATGGGACATTTCTGAGGCTTTCAAATATGAAAAGAAATACTTTGTATAGAGAGAGCGAATGCACTTGAAGCTGAGAGCCAGAAACAGCTGATGCAGGTCAGAAGTATTTAGAGACAAACACCAGCCTTCTCCTTTCCCCGACACAAGAGAAGTGGGTGTATGCGTACCTGAGGAGTGCGCGCCAGAGTGAGCAGCAGGTGAAGGGCCGCCTCGCTGAAGTACAGGTTGTGTTTGGATCTCAGGCTGATCTCCACAGCGCTGAGCACAGAGGGGAGCACGGGAACCTTCCTCATCACAGAGACCCAGTGCTCACCGTCTTCATCGCTGCGACACAGCTCCTTCGCTAGGTGCAGCGCTAACACACACACCTGATACAAAGAGAGGGAAAACAATGACCTTCATGTTCACACTGCTGCTGGAGTATCATCTACAGGAACTTTCATTCCCCAACGGCTTCTACTCTATCACAGGAATGAAAGTAGATGTTTGTATGAAGGCATAATGAATACGTTGATTGGCCAAGACATAAAGGATTTAGAAATATAGCAACGAGGAGCAATGATCAAATCTATACTTATTGGAAGTCTGAAACATGAGCTACAAAAATGCTGAGTGTGCACCATGAGCTCACCCCGTCTCTCTGGTCCTTCTGCGGACTGCGGAAAGAGTCCGTCTCCATGCTGTCCTCCCCCTCCACCCCCTCCCCCACCTGGCTCATGTGCCGGGTGCTGTCGATGAGCGCCAGCGCCTCGTCTTTTACAGTCTCACACACACACAGCAGCAGCTGGGGCAGCTGGGAAATATCTCCACCTGGTTCCCCAAGAAATGAATCATTGAGAAGAACAAACTATAAGACCTCCGGTTCCAACAGACACGAGGAAAGACAGCGCTCTTACCGTTGAGTCCCTGAATCTGCAGCACAGAGATGAGCGCCGAGAAGATCTTGGCTTTGGTTCTCTCCATCATGTGGTGGTCGGCCTGCAGGACGCTCTCCAGGATGAGGGAGAGCGGAGACAGGATGTCCGGAGCTGTGGCAACCACACTGTGGAGAGAGAGCTTATTAAAGAGGAAGGGGGGGGGGGCATATGTCCGGGCCCTATATCAGTGTTTGAGTGGCTGACAGAGGGTTGCTGTGTTGAAAGTACAAAAAGGGTATTTCTCGTGTCATCTCAAATATTTTCAAAGATTGTGTTCCTAAATCACAGACACAAAAACATGGTACAATAGCAGGGATGCTTTACTTCAAAACATAAACTCTCTGTCCAATGCAGGAGAACACACCTTCTCCACTGTTTGAGGAGGATGAGCAGCAGAGTGGCCATCATGGACCCGAGACGAAGACAAGGCACAGACATCGGGATGGTCAGCTGGAAGAGACAGGAAGTGTTGAAAAGCAAAGAACAGGGAGAGGAGATCCAAACACATGTTGCAGGTCAATATGACATGTGTCTTTGAGGACTTACAGCAGCTTTGGTCCCGTCCAGGACGTCCATGAAAAGCTTCAGTTTGGTCGAGTCTTCCGTCAGCTGCATCACATCGGACTGAGAACAGAGAATATACCAATAATCATTAGATTTATCTGCACGTAACGGTTTGATTACAAATTCTTCATTCTCCAGTGGATTGAAAGGTGCAGGACAATCTCAAAAGAAACTATTTAGGTTGGTATCCGTCTGACCTAACACTCGGTGAGAAAGCTTGGTATCAGTCTGACCTAACACTCGGTGAGAAAGCTTGGTATCAGTCTGACCTAACACTCGGTGAGAAAGCTTGGTATCAGTCTGACCTAACACTCGGTAAGAAAGCTTGGTATCAGTCTGACCTAACACTCGGTGAGAAAGCTTGGTATCAGTCTGACCTAACACTCGGTAAGAAAGCTTGGTATCAGTCTGACCTAACACTCGGTGAGAAAGCTTGGTATCAGTCTGACCTAACACTCGGTGAGAAAGCTTGGTATCAGTCTGACCTAACACTCGGTGAGAAAGCTTGGTATCAGTCTGACCTAACACTCGGTGAGAAAGCTTGGTATCAGTCTGACCTAACACTCGGTGAGAAAGCTTGGTATCAGTCTGACCTAACACTCGGTGAGAAAGCTTGGTATCAGTCTGACCTAACACTCGGT